GGAAGAAATGACCGAAGAGGAAACTGGAAGAGGCTGTCGAGAATGGAAAGGAGGAGCATGGCTTCTGCGAGGCCTCCTCCACTACGAAGCGGCCGGACCTCGACACAAGACTGAGAAAGTTCCGCTTCTTGGAACTCTACGCTGGCATGGGTGGCCTTTCTTCCCTTGCAAATCGTTCACTCGAGCAAGAAGGTCGGACGAGCACAGGACTTCTGTGGTGATCCGAGGCGATGCACATCCAGAAGGCTGGGGGCATCCATTGGCCGCGAGATTCTGAAGAGAACAGTGGCGCTTGGCTTCAGAGCGCACGAAAGGGGCAAGTTCTTCACCATGGAGAACCCGCTTGACTCGTACGCCTGGGAGATCAAGACGGTGCAGCAGCTCATGAAGGTCATGAATGCAAGGTTGCTGGAACTCGACCAGTGCCCCTACGGTGCGGAGACCAGGAAACCCACCGGGATCTTTTCGGCCGCCCCATGGATGGATCGAGTGACTCTGAAATGCATGGATGTGCGCCCTCATCGTCATCGAGAAGGTGGACTCACTGGCCACTGGCCATGTGTGGGATCCCATCTCAGGGGATTGGATATGGCGAACCTCAAGAGCTGCAGAATACCCAGCAGGCCTCTGCTGGGCATGGGCCGAAGCACTCTGTTACGTTTGGGCCAGGCAACCATGCGGACGGGTGAAGGTCGTTCGCAATGTTATGTTGATGACCCCATCCTCATTGCACTTGGTAGGAACTCCCACAATCGTTCTCGTGTGTTTGCTCGGGTCACCCTTCTCTGGTGTGCCTTGGGAGCTCGACTCGCTTGGAAGAAAGTGAGTAGAGGTTGTGACGTCGAATGGATCGGTGTCGCACTCGCCATCGAATGGTCCCCAAGTTGCACCCTCCGGGTTTCCCTCACTCCCGACAAGACCTCCAAGCTGTTCGAATTGTTTGAAGCCATTATCGAGGAGGGACGAAAAGGCATGATACCATCCGCACGCTGGCCCAGGCGGCGGGCGTGATGGGGTGGGTCAGCAATCTGATCCCAGCCTCGCGTCCCTGGACCTCGGCGCTGTGGGGGGCCCTGACTGACCCCCAGCGTGGGCGCGAGCGGTCGAAGCCACAAACGCGGAGTCGGAAGGGACTTTGCTTTTGGAAGCAAGTCGCGTGGGCGGTTCATGGCTTGTTCGCCATGCTGCAGGCGGGCACGTCAACGCGGAAGAGTGTTGATGGTATGCCGGTGCAGGTCGATCCCCATCAGTGCCCCCAAGAGGTTCGTATGCCGTCCCTTTCTAAAGTGTTTAAGTTCGAGGAGTCCTTGCCGATGTGTGAGTTGTGGACGGACGCTTGCCCGACTGGTATTGGAGGGTATCTCGCCTTTGGAACTCACCCGGCAGGTTTCTTCATGCACGCTTTGACACCTAAGGATGCCCAATGGATCGGCTCGAACTGTCAGATCGGGGATCCGGCATGGCAGACAGAGTTTGAAATGTTTGCTGTTTTGAGTGCGCTCAGATTCTTTGCTTGTTTTCTTCTAGGTGGCATGTATAGGGTGTTTCTCCGTAGTGATAACGCGGCCACCTTGCTTGCAGCTTTGTCTTTCACCTCCAAGAGCCCATATTTAACCAGATTAGCCGGAGAACTGATCCTGGAGCTCGAGTTTCTCGAATTGCCACCGCTTGAAGGACGTCATGTCCGTGGGTTGCTCAACACCATCGCGGATTCTCTCTCGCGAGGCGAAATCCCGAGTGATTTTGCAAGGTGTTCGGCAGCTCACTTTGACTGATGAAGCGAGGCTCATTCGAAGATGTTCGCTCTAGGAAACGGACGAGGATTGGGAGGAAAAGATGTGTGTTTTCGCTTTTCGTGATCGGTCGTTCGCAGCCTACCCTCTGCCCGAGTCTTGTCCTTTTCACAACATGGTGTTGTCCCACGTCTGGAACTGGTGCGCGAGCTCCCGCTCAGGATGGGTCCCAGGAGGGCGCACCATGAGTAGGAACGCTAGAGTGCACCAGAGAAGCCAGTCAGCGTGGACAGTCGGTGATGGGTCGGTTGAGAATGAGAATGACCTACCGCCATTAGTCCTCAGAGCAAGATTGGAAGCACAGGCTGCAGGTGTGGCGGTGTTGGCCTCCCAAAATGGAGGGGAAAGCTCCGGCAGTGGAGTTGCAGGCACATCGGCGGAGGAACCAAGTGTCATTGTCTTGGACCCCGAGACACTGGTCAGACGCCGTCCAGGTGCACCTCTGACATTAAATTCAACACGCGTGGAAGGACGCGCCAAGCCTACACTCAAGAGGGCCCTGGTGCATCGTGCACGCATGGGCTACCAACAGTTGGCCTATGCGGCGGGTATACGATGGACACGAAGACCTCCATGTTCAAAGCATGGTGTGAGGTCATGGCCACCCATGATTTAGCGCCTCTGCCTTTCAGCATCGAGAAGTGTCAGCTGTTTGTGTCCGTGTTTCGTGCCGCGGGATTTCGAACCACCTACAACTACCTGGGGGAAGCAGGCAGCGGCGCTTGAAGGAAGGTTTTGGCTGGAGTGGGGCTCTGCCAGGAGGCACCCAGCAGGGGCATTTTATATACCATACTACCAACTACGTGGGCAAGAGCAGCCGAGATAGCATCGGGCTGGCCTCCTTGCTACCGACAAATCTCGCGTGCCAGTGCCCGCGTGGTGAGTGGAAGATGTTGCACCACACATTCCCGTTGACGGAGTCGAGAGTGCGGTATCACGGGTTGCGCATCGTTCAAGAACTGGCGGCAATGATGAGTTGCGACCTCGTGTTCGGCGCGCAACACGTTGGCGAGCAGCGCAATCATCTGTGGCACACCGTGTGCCGCCTCCGCAACCTCCAGGAACATTACGCTCGTGATTGCACGCCGAAAAAGGAACCCAAAGCATGGACGCAGAAACACCCGGAGCGCAACGATCCGCTCTTCGAAAAGTATGCACGCTTCGCCATGGGCCAAACATATTATCATACTGCTCTACAAGCCGCCCTGCGTGCGCCGAACCTAGCCGCCAACGCTGCAGGACTGGCTGCGAGCGGTCATGCGCCGCCCGCTAGACGAGTGTGAGAAGACAAGCAAGAGCGAACGAAAATCTGTAGCGTTCGCCTTGTCAACGAGTCGGAAGTTCCAGTCGGAAGAACTCGAGTCTGCGTAGACTACCGAACGCGGGGCGTGACCACGGATACATGACTCTATTGACTTTCACGGCCCCGCCCACGGCGCTGTCTTAGAAAACCATGGAACGGCAGATTCACGAAAGGCACACGCACGTGCCGCCGCAGCATGGATTTGAGATCATACTCCTGGGAGAGGTCCTTGCTCATAAATCCTATCCTCACCATTCAGCGCTGCCAAAAATTAATCTCAAACTCCTGTTAGCAAAGCAATCTACCCCCGAAGAATCAGGCTTAGATCTTGGTGAGCCCCTCCCCAACGTCACCCCCGAGGTTCAAACACCATTTGTTTATAAGTTCTTGGGGGGCTCCAAAAAACCATTCCAAAACGAAAATAAACACGCTCTTCTCTGTCTGATCCCTACCCCCCTCATGTCCCCAAGCATGTCTGTTCCGTCCCTTTGATATTTGGCAAAATCAAGTTTTTGAAAGGACATGTAGGAAAAGGCTTAAATCTGTTTCAGTGACACTGCCCAGTGATGCATGAGAGATCTCAGGAAGATCGTCCTTGAGTGGCCCCCCCCCGCGCGCTCCTCAGACCACCAATGCGAGTCGGAAGCGTCGGCGGCCCGCATCTGCGGAAGGCGCCGTCGCGGCCACGGTTCGACCCGATGGGCTCAGGAGACGGTCAACGCTCTTGCCCGTTTGCGCTGCTCTTCCGGCGCCTCAACCTGCAGCCATCGGCACTTGTACGATTCTATCGTTTTGGGCGCTCCCTCCGGCAGCTTGATGGATGGGCAGAAGGCGGATGCGAAAACCAGTGGGAAGTACGAACTATATTGCCCTGCCTGTTGGACGACATCCAATCTTGTGCGACGTCGATCTCCTTCTCGTTCTCTTTCAACGTTTTGTCGTCGTCGACGGGCATGAACTTCAGCGCCGCTCTGAGCCACAGATGCGGCCGTGGGCACAAATTTATTGTATTGTTTGTATTTTTCTATTCTGAAAACCACCGCACGCATTCTCCGCGACCCGATGCAAAGCATGTTCACGCAGTTTTTGATGCGTTCCTCCGCGGCAGCATCGTAAATGCACTCAGCACTCGCCGGGGATGGCGCATCTATCTCCTGCTCAGCCCACTGCAGAAAGAAGTGTCCACACTATGTCACTATGTTTATAAAATCCTTAGCATTTTTTCAGCGATTTAGCCCGTGAGTGAGCACAGACAATTAGAATATCTGGCAGGGAAATTTCCCGGGAAATGAGCTGGTTGTGCCTTTTTTAACTAAAAATAATCTTCAGCACAGGATTCAATAGTTTTTTTGCACCTTAAAGACGCGACTTGTTGTATAGGATTTTACAAAACTGAGATCGGTGTCTTCCTGATTTTTGTAAATGTTTTCTTCACTGTTCCTGCCTGACCTCCAAACCAGACGGGGATTTTTGTGGTATACCAACACTGACACTCATTCGGTTGGACACGCGTCATTTGTGTGTCAAATTTTAAAAAATGGTTCTGGCGACGAAATGTGTTCGTGCAGGTGAGCCAAGAACATGTTTCTTGGCCCGTGCAGATGTGGATGGACCAACCAGGTTAAATTCCAGACCATTGGTGGCCTAGCAACGTATGCTGTACGCCTCTTAAGCACGGACGGGATTCCATGCCTGTGTGCCAGTGGAATAAGGCACCCCATGTTGAATTCAATCTTGCATCTGACGCTTTAGGGGACTGAGTGCCGTGAAGTCAAAACGAAACCATGATGGAACCTGCCTTGTTTTCCTTGTCATGACAGGGTTTTTCCTTTTTGATCAATTCTGGGTCCACTGCATATTATTTATCCTTCAGACAGTCCCGCCGCGGCAGCCACCCAGAAAGGCCAAACATAACTGCTGCAAACCTTCCCTCTGGCAGCATGTGTGAAACTGCTTCAACATCTTGAAACTTGAAAACGCGGTGACGACTTCCACCAGAAACAATGAACCGTGAAGCTCGTTCAGGAACACGCGCGCACAAAAACCGTGCGAGACTCATGGCCCACAGGCTAAAGTCCTCGCAGCCAGTGGGCAACCCCATCATAGCTCACCTGGTTTTTGTGTTGAACATGTTGTGTTCGCACCTTCTACTTGGAGTGTCCGGATGCTCCAGTGCAAGAACAATTGCGGACGGGTGGACTTTGGTGGTCATAGGTGGGGATGTTTTCTGCGCCAGCATATTGACCCGCCGATTTTGTAAGTTGCTGCGAATGTAACAGTGAATGCACCTCGTGCTATTTGTTGAGCAGCTCTCAGAGTTGGCAATGTGCCAGGTTCACAGCGTTTTGGTAGGTGCAGTAGGTAGTTGGACCTGCGGGTTTATTCCATATACCTCCGGCATCGGGCTGGTTGCCCGTGTGTGATTTGTTCCTCAATTGGACTGGCATTGGTGTTGGGTGAGTACGTGAGTGCCAGTGTGCGTATATGACCGCCAGAGTGCTGAAATGGCAAGCAGCAGGACGTTTGCCAAATAACGAACGACCAAACAGCCTGTTTGCCAGAGTTTTTGTTTCCGGCAACAATTGCAATGTCTGAACTCTAGGCTTCGTGGGCTTGCGGGCCTTGGTTTTTTGCATTTCTCGCCACTCCTGGTATTGCAAGGCCGCCTCGGGCCTTTTCGAGAACCACGGATCACAGCTGCAGTCAAGGTTTGTTGAGCCCTGCAGTCCGCAGATGAATTCATAGACCCAACCTTAGGGAGAACATTTACTACATAAATCGCAGGTCGTTTTGGCTGAAGCGAAAAACTCGCAAAAAGGAATGCTCGTGCAGTTTGCTTGGCTTTGTGCTAGCCCAAGTGCAGCATATGCCGCGGATAAGGCGACTGGAGTCACCATGAAGTTGAGACTCAGGTTCAAGCCCACATGATGGCTGCGAGCCAGAAGGGGACAAGAGTGCCCGGCAAGAGGCGCTGGTGCATGATTCGGGCCAATTTTGTAAGGCCAAACCATTCTTCATTAATGGATTATAGGGTATGGCCGGTATGGCTATGCCTTTCAAAGGACCAGCTGAAGAGTAAAGTTCAAAAGATGCTGCGCGAAAAACATCGGAGGCTGGTTTCGTTCGAATCGGATTTTCTTGCGGCAATCGATGTTCGGACTGACAGCTCGGTTGTTGGATTCTTCAGTGTCAATGAAGGAGGAAAGAGAGAACAAGATGGCCGCAGGAGAGAAATAGGAGAGAGATACAGTAGGGAGAGAGAGAGAGAGAGAGACAGGGAGAGGGAGAGGGAGAGGGGGAGAGGGAGAGAGAGAGAGAGAGATAAGATGCGATGAGATGAGATAAGATAAGATTGCATCATATGTAAGATAAGGCGATAAGGCTACGCTTGGATAAGACTATGATTGACATTAGAGTACAGCAGAATCGAGAAGATCTGCTGTTTCCTATATGTAGTATAAAGGGCCATCTGGCCGTATGGTGCCTTTGCCGATCGGCTGGTGAAATCAAACATGCTTGTTGCTCTCTATGGATATCTATGGAATCGGAGCGCTCCCAGCTGCCCGTTCCGTAAGGCAAGAGTCCACTTGCTTTTGCTCTGGAGCTGGGCTTTGTTTGGAACAGAGCACTGCGGATGGCGGCACAGTGGTCATGGTGGCACTCAGGGAGTCCGCCATCAACATCCCACAAAACAATCAACCGTTGATAGCATCCTTTACTTTGGCCTTAACTTGTTTGGATAGATGTCCGTTCAACAGTTCAATCGACGGGAGTATACACCTGATCGCAGGGGGGAAGAGGCTAGGCAGAGGCAGAGGCAGAGGCGGAGACAGAGACAGAGACAGAGGCAGGCAGGCAGGCAGTTAGGCAGGCAGGCAGTTAGCCAGGCAGACAGATGGACGGAGCATCGATGCGCTGCAATGTCCAGGCACAAAAAAGACAAGACCACCAAGAAGGAAAAGTCTGAAGGAAGTGAAGAAAAGCCACCGTCACAATCAGGATAGGGGCAGAAAGTATGGAGTAGTGCGAATCTTGTATTTTTGGATATTATTGGCGCATTTGGTGTCTGTGGATTTTGTGTAGGCGCAGCTGAGCGATTTCATCAAGCCCGGGCCTTTTTTGCACGCTTGTTCATGTGCAGCTTCGTGGTTCCCTCAAGCTAGTGGTCTTGGGGCCTAGGAAATGACTGCTCGTGAGAGGGCGCAGAACCTTGTCGCCATGTCTGGTTTCCCAATGCCTTTCTTGCCATGAAAGATCATAAAAGACCGGGCTGCTCGTCTGTGATGGCCAACAGCTTTGATCGATTGCTTTTGTAAAGTCGACATCGGAACGATGTCCTTCAAAGTTGGCATCATCTCTTCCACGTGCGTGAGCACTTAGAGCTAGAACTGCCAATGCACAGTTTCCGGTTGTGCCTCTGTACAGCAGCAACTTAAAGTTGTAACAACCTCCGGCAGCGAACCTAGGAGCAAGGACGCTACTAGGGGCTCCTGGCCTTACTACTAGTATATACGTAACAATAGAGCTACTAGGGGCTCCTGGCACCGCTACTAGGAGCATTCTTACTACTAGTAACAAGAAGCTACTAGGGGCTCCTGGCCGTACTACTAGGAGCAATGTTCGCTACTAGTAACAAGGGCATCGCTACTAGGAGCAAGAACGCTACTAGGAACGGCTCCAACCCAGCTCGCTGCATCGGGCGAGTTGCGTTTTCAGCCCTCTCCACCTTTGAAGCTCGGAGGGGCTCTTTTTGCGCGGCCTTTAAAGCTTGCGCAATTGTAAAGGCATGAGCGGATTTTGCATTCCTTTTCCTAGTTGTTGGAGAACCTGAACCCTTGGACGTCCTGGATGGACAAGTCCTTGCGCATATTGTTTGTACGCCTGGTTTGGGAACTCTCTCCTCCATCTGCCTTGTGCCCTGGAGCATGCAGCTCTTGTTCCAACGAAACGGGCTCGTGTTGGCACGATGCAGCGGTCCGATTTTTTTGTTGGTCGGTTGTGCAAAACCGGAATGTCTAGTGTTGTCAGCCTGTGCTGGCATGCCTTCAGTGCTTACTGCTTGCAAAGCTGAGCTTTGTGCTCAGGCACGGTACCACGGCTCTGAGGCTGCCCAAAGTTGCCCGAAGGAAAAACAATACATGGGTGTTGCAAGCACACAATTTGGATTCATTCCCTTTGGAGTTCATGAGGGAACAGTCAGCATGTCGATGTTTGAAGTTTTGTAGACACTTTTTGGCAGGTGGCTCACAGCCCATGCAACCCCACGTTGTGAGATCGCGAGCCATGAGAATAGTTTTTGGCAGCCATTCTTCAACGTTGATTATGGCTGGAATGCACTGAGCCGATTGGCCCATTCTGAATTTGTGTGCACCCTTGTCGCCATGTTCACCGTTTTGCTGCGCGCCAGGGCGGGGCCGATGGCTTAGGGAGTGTAGCTCACCTGAAGGCTTTCAGCCGCTGAGTCCGAGTGAGGATGAAAGTGGAAGGTTTGATTCAGAACTTTGTCCGGCAGGCAGGGTGGCAACTCCCTACTTCATCTCAGACTGCTCTTCACCCTTGCAGCAGACACACACTCCACTTTAAAAGGAGGGACATTTAATTTTGTTTATTTTTTGTTTACTCTTTTTTTTGTTTTTCGTGGCTTCTGGCTTCTGGCTTCTGTGGCTTCTGGCTTTTGGCTTTCGTGGCTTCTGTGGCTTCTGTGGCTTCTCTGGCTTTTGGCTTTCGTGGCTTTCGTGGCTTCTGTGGCTTTTGGCTTTCGTGGCTTCTGTGGCTTTTGTGGCTTTTGGCTTTTTGGCCTATCTATGTATCTGTCTATATCTATCTTTATCTGTCTATATCTATCTATCTATCTATCTATCTTTCTATCTTTCTATCTTTCTATCTTTCTTTCTATCTTTCTATCTTTCTATCTTTCTTTTTGGCAGCTGTTCTCCTTTCTCTTTTTGCATTTGCTTTTCCTGTTGTTTGCGTTGCAGAGACGAAGCCAAGGAAGCAAGCAAGCAAGCAAACAAGCACGAGCTGCTCACCTTTGAATCTGGTGTGCTGCTGGGGGGGGCGCTGCGCCCCCCCCCCCCCCCCCCCCTCCCCGGTGCAAAACTTTCTAACCAAGCAAATATGCCCTATCTATCTATCTACCTATCTATCTATCTATCGATCGATCCATTTATCTTTCTATCTGTCTATCTGCAGTTCAACATCCACAAAGTACTGCACCTGCCACGAAATCTGCACTTCAAGGTCCGCACAGTCTCGCGCCTTCCACAAAATCTGCACTCCAAGGCCCACAAAGTCCTGCACCTTCCACATCCACAAAGTCCTGCATCTGCCACGAAATCTGCACTTCAAGGTCCACAAAGTCCTGCGCCTGCCACGAAATCTGCACTCCAAGGGCCACAAAGTACCACACCTGCCACGAAATCTGCACTTGAAGGTCCACAAAAAGTCCTGCGCCTGCCGGAAAATCTGCACTCCAAGGCCCACAAAGTCCTGCACCTGCCACCAGCTCTGCACTTCCACATCCACAAAGTCCTGCACCTGCCACGAACTGTGCATTGCAAGGTCCACAAAGTACTGCACCTGTCACCTGCCACGAAAAACACACAAAAAGAAACACAAAAATCCAAAATTAAGTTGCGGCCCACTTTAAAACCTCCTGTGACAAATGCTAGTGGACCTCACTCCAGACTGGCCAGGTTCGCACGTTGAGCCTTCAAATGGTAGATGTTGGGGCCAAAGCTACAACGCGCCGAACGGCTGGAGTCTGAGCTGCGAGAACTCCGAACTCCGTGGAACTCCGTGACGCCGAGGCTCGGGCTGGCTGCACTGTGGTGGTCGGCAAGGAGGCAGGTCACGGGAGGTCAACCTCTGTCACGGTCGGCTAAGTCTTCCAGGTGGCTGCAGCCTTGGCAGCTAAGACGGTGGCCAAGGGTGATGCTCCTGAGCGGCCAGAGTATTGAATCTGAACATGTGACGTGATGCATACATGTTCTTTTTCTACATCCATTGTGGGTGGAGTCATGAGAATGACCACGAGCATGAGAATGGCCTGTCGAGGTATTTACAGTTAGTGAAGTTGCTGGAATCATGGCAGCGAAGCGCACGCCAGACCTGCTGCCACTGCGGGGTGCTCAGGTAGAAAGAAATCCCACAGACAAGCTGCTTTGGGTACTGCTTTGGGTTTCCCACACGGCCATGACGTAAGGTGCCATCCTTTGCCTTTGACCCGTGCCACTGTTCAGTTCTGACCCTAGAGGCCTACTGGAGGCCCTTTGTCTTTCTGCGCGTTGTCAGTCCGCCAAAGCCCCCTGAGTTGCAAGCTCGATGAAGAGAATGCGCTGGTGCATGTCGAAGCGGATGTGTCATGTGATGGCCAGACCGGTGCCGTCGCCTCAGATTCGTAACCTCGAATGCTGAAGACGGCCCAGGTTAGGCAAAAGGCAAAGGTGTGGATATTCGGCTGCAAAGGTTGAAATGGAGAGCCTAGCAGCGGCTTCAACTGCTGCACTGTGCATCTATGACATGTGCAAGCCGATTAGCAAAGGCAAGGCTTTGCATGCAAGAGAATGCGACTGACTCGAACTGTCCTGATGCTGCTGTCAAGGCATTGTGATCACAAACCTTCGGCTATTGAGCAAGACCGGAGGGAAGAGTGGTGACTATGTCGCACCGGAGGGTGCAGCCTGATACAAAAGCCCGCCATGCATGCAAGTTGATACTTATATAATAGTAGATCGGTCAGATGCCCAATTGTCAAATCTGAATGATTTGAGCCACATGCTCCTTTGAGACTGTTTCAATCAAGCAAACATATCAGACACCGGCATCTATACAAGCAGACCAAAAACATGACACGGATTGTTTGCAAACCACAGCTTCATGCCAACTAGATTTAGTTGGCCAAACAAAAGTGCTGCACTGTTGTGGAGAATAGCTCCAGATGAAAGTATTGAGCATCGAGTGAACATGCTGAAGTGGACCGGAGGGGATCTATGGATCTGTTTGAATGGAGGGCCAGGCCTGGCAGGTGATGGCGATTCTTCTGATCAGTCATATGAGTCATATGATTCAGGGATGTTTTGTTGCATCAACAGGATTTGTATATAGTATATATATATATAGAAATCTGTAAGCTGAGCTGGTGTCCTTTTTGCTTCCAACTCTTTATCAGGGCCCGCTTCGCTTCGACACTGCTACTGAGATTGTCGTGAGCCGAAATTCATCATGCCTTTGTGCAAGGCTGAGGGAAGAAACCTCGTTGGCAGAAGAGGCGGGCTCGGATGCAGTTGAACAAAGACTGTTATAGAACTAGACTAGACCACTTTAGTCGCTTTCAGGCCTTTGAAGTTAAGTTTCCCTAAAAATCTAGGAACCAAATCATTAGTGCGAGCCTGAGCTATCCTGCGTCCATACTATTTGCTTACTTGTAGGTGGTAGCTACCTAGCTACTACTAGCTAGTTACCTAGCTACGGCCTACCCCCCCCGCGCACGCGCGAGAAAGAAACAACTTCCACGCCTGAAAAAGCGAGAGAGGAGCCCCTAGTAGCGTCCTTGCTCCTAGTAGTAAGGCCAGGAGCCCCTAATAGCTTCTTGTTCCTAGTAGCGATGCCAGGAGCCCCAAGCATCCAACGTTTGTTTTTCAGGTTTGTGGCTCACCGCTGCTGACTTCGTCTCCACGGATGCTTGTGCTGCGTGTGGAGCCCTAGCAAAGCCAAAAGCATCAAAGCATCCTCCTCTTGGACTTCCTGGTGCAATTTCTAGCATTTTGGTGCATGTATTGCATGTATCTGTAGCGTGTTCCTAGTAGTATGGCCAGGAGCCCCTATAGTAGCGTCCTTGCTCCTAGTAGCGATGCCCTTTGCTCCTAGGAGCGTCCTTGCTCCTCTGGATTCAGACCTTTCTTGCTATTGAGATGTTGCCAAGAGCTGGGTATGCACTTGCCAGCCCCAAAACCCGCGCTCGTTTCCTTGTTGCCATCACCGCTCCCGGTCGACAGCTGTCTCCAACAGGTCATGAGTCATGAGTGAACTTTGAGGTAACATATTGCAACATGCCCAAATCCAATCCGGACGTTCCTCCAGTCTTCCGCATTCTTGTGCTCCCCTTGGAGCAATGGTCCGCACCCTGTGCGTCCTTCTGGCACTTGGATGGGCTGCGGCTGCGCAGCCGCCAGTAGAGGACGGGCGAAAACGAGCCATTCATTGCATACATTTGGGTGTATGACGTAGTTGATGTGCAAATCAATCAAGATTTCAATTGAGCAGTGCAGTGTGCAAGAAGTGTTGGAGTGGCCGTACGGCCAATGATGATCAATGCAATGGAATGGAATGCAAGCAAACAACGCACGTGCGTACTGTTTTGTGATGCCTTGAGCCCTCACAACTGGGTGATTGCCTTGAGTCTCCCACCCACCGAGGAGGTGAACCGTGCGATGGCGGCCGCCAAGGCGGCCATGGCCTCGGCATCGCAGAAGGCGCGCGAAGCGCAAAAGAAGGAGGCACAAGTGGAGCAGGAGAAGAAGGAGCTTCGTGAGCAGGGAAAGGAGGAGAAGCGTAAAGAGAAGGAGGTGCGACCCGACATGACACAGGTGACACACGTGGTTCTGCAAGAGTCACTGGTGTCTTCAGGAGCAGGAGAAGCTGGACAAAGAAAAGTCTGCCCTCCAAAAAGAGAGGGAGCAATTGAATGGCCTAAAGAAAGAAGCAGAGGCCGGAGCCACAGTTGTCAACTGATGTGCGCTTGGGGGCTTCGTTGGCAAGTTGTGTCAGTCGGGTGGGTGTGACCAAGGAGGAGCTCCGGAAAGCTCGTAAAGCCACGAATGACGCAGAGTGGGCTCAGACAGATGCCTTGGACAAGTTGAAGAGAGGCCAAAAAATGCATGAAGAAAGCGAGAGTTCCTTAGCAAAAAACACAAAACTATTTTGCTTGGTTTGTCTCTGTCTGTATTCCTTTTGTCCAGAATTTGTCACCCAGGCATGCTGAAGCGCTCTGCGGCCAATGATGATGAAGCTGCAAAGGTGGAAACCAAAGCACGGCAGAGCTTCCAGGAGGTTAGGTTGGCCCATTTGGTCTTGTAGGAGCTGGGAATGTGGTTCTTCCCATGTCACCCTGACCAAAGAATGCTCGATGAAGAAGCTTTGCTTCTAGGCACGAAAGCAGAAGGAGGAAGCTATTGTGGCAGAGAAAAGCTATCGGCAAAAAGCCGTGCAGGCCCGCATGACGTTTGATGCATGCGTTGTTTTTCATTATCTTTTTTACAGAGTGAGATGGGATAAGACACCTGGCCCTACTCCAAAAGATTCTTGGGGTCCTGCAAGGCTAAAGCTGCACAAGCAGCTGCGTGGAAGCAGCAAGCCAAAGCCGAGGCCATGGAACGAAGGCGTCAAGCAGAGCTGGATGCGTTGCAGGTGCGGTGTGCCCATGCTGTCCCATGCAAGACAGCTCTGACTGGCAGCTTTCAATTTTGCATCCGCAACTGGTACACCTTTGTGCTGGGAGGAGGAGCAGAAGTCAATAGCCAAAGACAAAGCAAAGCTGGAAGAGGAACTCGCCAGTGTTCAGCAAGCGAGGCTCCGGCAGAGTACGTTTTTTGCAATTCTTTGCGAAGAGTCATCGAATCGCTGTCCAGGAGCAAGGTAATTTTGGAGGGTTCGGAGCGTGTGGAGCAGCGAAGGTAACATATATATATATATACATATATTAAGTATATTATACGATGTCATATTATACTATATTCTGACTTTTATGCGTGCAAAGTGGGCAGCAAAGACAGACTTCAGTTCCCCCGGTTCTAAACTGCCATCGTCCAGAGCCGACTGACTAGGGATGAACGAGATGATAACAAAGGTGTTGTTTCGGCAAGAGGTGGTGCAACTGGGTGGTTGCAGTGGTGCACGCGGATGACTGCAGGATGACGCAAAGAGCTGGTTCCTGTTTCAGAAACGGGTGTGCCATGGTGTGTCCACAGCAATGCTTTGTTGAAGTTATATACTCTTCAATTCCATTATGCTGCTCAGGTGCCAAGTCAGGCCTTACATGTTGGCAGCTGATCACCTGAGCAACAATCAACGGATCCGAACTTTGTAGGGGTGACTGGTCACTAGTCTGGTGCATACCCTCTTGGGGTAGGCAGGCTCAATCATGTCACATGTCTACCTGTTTCACTGGAACAAGAGAACAAAAACTATGCCAATACACACACAAACTTAAACCACTGAAAAATTAATGGCTAGTCTTTTTGCATATTTTCTTTTCTTCAGTTCCCTTTGAGACCCCGGCTCACCTGTGTTAGGCGTTCGGTGATGGAGGCCTTGTACGAGGCCAGGAACGCCACCAAGGCCGCATCGCTCGAGGAGGCCGATGCTTCTAAGCAGAAGCTGCAGGCGCAAGCGGCGCAACGAAGGGACAAGATGTTGGGGGCATCTTTGGTTGGAGGAAGCTACGATGAGTCAATATGGTTTCGGAGGTCGGAATGTATTACAGCAAAAGAAGCCAGCTGAGATATATACAAAGAATCCCTACTGTAAATACTCCAACTTGAATGGATCAACTCTTGGCCAGAATGCAATATTCTGTGCGTTTGCCTTGTTGCGATCCCCTTTCTCACTTGGGTTGAGAACTTCACCAGGCCAAGGAGAAAATGGAGAAGGCCCAACACCTCATGGCTGTGGCCAAACAGATGCACGATGTGGCTGAGCAACTTGCTGAAGGGAGCGATGAGGCCATGAGGCAATGTCGACCCATGTAGCAAGAGCCTCTTTTGTAGTCTTGTTCGGTTGACTAGCCAGCCCCCACTTGGTTGGATTTTGTTGTTTGTTGGGTTGGACCTCTACAACTTCCCGGTGAGCTGTGCTAAGGCAAGCCATGGTTGCCGCACATTTGCTGCAGTTGCCCGGCCCGAAGACGGAGCCGCTTCCGCAGGCTGGGACATACACGTGCTGACCAACGAGCCGAGCAACAACATTATTGAAATCTCTGATTCGCAACAAACACAGCCTCTACACACAGAGATTCTTCAAACTTTAAACACACAAACGCACGCACGCACAGACACGTTTATTCCCCAAACAGGTTCACCTGTGAGGGGTTCTTACTCCTTTTAAAGGGGTGCATGCTCGGGCCGGATGATTTTGAGTTTGTCTCCGGGCTTGTGTTCCTGGCCGCATGATTTCACCCTTGTCTCCCACTTGTCTCCCACTTGTCTCCGAGTAAGCTCTGGATGCTCTCAGTGCTCTGGCCGCATGATTTTATACTTGTCTCCCATTTGTCTCCCAGAGTTGTCTCCCAGTAAGCTCTCGATGCTCTCAGTGCTCTGGCCGCATGATTTCAGGCTTGTCTCCCATTTATCTCCCACTTGTCTCCCACTTGTCTCCCAGTAAGCTCTGGATGCTCTGAGTGCTTGGCCGCATGACTTCACACTTGTCTCCCACTTGTCTACCACTTGTCTGCAAGTAAGCTCTGGATGCTCTGAGTGCTCTGGCCGCATGATTTCACACT